GGTCTCGACCACAGGAAGAGTCAGTGCAAAGGGCTAGCCCAGTGCATTGACTGTTCCGATCGTGGAATGGACGACACAAAACATCCTTCAGGGAGCAGGGCCTGCCCGGTGTACTGGAAGATACTAACAGATCTAAAGTCCAGAGCTTAGGTTTCTCCAGGTTAATCTCAGGAAGAGAAAAGTCGCGCAAGATCTCTTCATGCAGACTGCCAGAGAGAGGAGAGCTGATATACTGCTTTTTAGTGATCAGTATAGGAAGCCAGAATCCTCTCTCTGGTTTAAGGATGCATCCAAGAGATCGGGTATTCAAATATGTAACCCGGACATCACCATTGGTGACTTTCTTGAGACCGACGCGGGTTTCGTTTGGGTGGAGGTGGCGGGAGTACGCGTTTACAGCTGCTACTTCTCTCCAAACGATCCTTTTTAAAAAGTTCGATGCCGAGGTTCAGGCTCTTGAAGAAACCATCAAGGCTTTCGGCGGGGATGTCCTTATTGCGGGAGACTTTAATAGTAAGTCGCCGGAATGGGGAGAGACTCGTCTAGACAAGAGGGGAACCTTAGTATCGGACATGGTCCCAGCAAACGATTTAGTGGTGGTGAACCGGGGACAAGAGTTCACGTTCAGGCGCGGGGTGTCAGGGTCTATCATCGATTTGACAATTGCGTCGCCCTGCGTGGCCCGTAGAATAGTTCGGTGGGGAGTGCTGGACGAAACGACTATGAGTGACCACCAGTACATAGAGTTTATAGTCGCTGAGAAAAATCGGGGAGGGAACACCAGGCCGAGGCTGGATGACGAAGCCAATTTCCGTGGGTAACAAATTGCGTGAGGCGAGGCGAGTTATTATTGCAGCGTGCAATTACTCTATGCCTCGCCGGCACCAAACAAAAGCTAGGAAGGGTGTTCTGTACTGGTGGAGCGACGAATTAGCCCGCTTAAAAAGAGAATGCAATGCAGCAAGGAGGAAATACACCCATTCAAAGGGAGACCTTCTGCTGCAAGAAGAGTGGCACAAAGCCTACAAAGTCGTCACTAAGAAATTAGTTTCGAGGCAAAGAACCCCTGGTCTTGACAATCCGATCTGGGTCCGAAAGATTATTAAGGCGCTGTTTCCCCATGTGGAATCAAGCCCTAGGGAGGACTTTTCCTCCTGTGTAGTGCAAAGGGAGGAGCTCTTCACGCTGGAGGAGCTTTAAAAGGTGTCAAAAACGTTGAGGAACGCCAAAGCGCCAGGCTACGACGGAATACCCAACGAGATCCTCAAAGAGGTAATCTGGTAGGCGATAATAGCATATCAGAGAATCAATTCGGTTTTAGGAAAGGCCGGTCGACAGTAGACGCGATCTTAGCAGTTCTCGAAAAGGCGAAAAAAGTCAAAGAGGGACGGAAGAAGGGCTTTTGCGCGCTCGTATCAATCGATATCCGCGTTCAATTCCGCGAAATGGGACATTTGTATGAAAGCAATGAGATGTAAAGGGGTACCAACGTATCTGTTGCGAATGATAGACAACTATCTTAGCGACAGATGGGTTGTCTACGAGAGCGATGCATGTCATATTAAAGAGAAAATGACATGCGGAGCTCCCCAAGGATCAAAGGTGGGACCGACCATCTGGAACGCTATGTATGACAGTTTTCTGAGGTTGGACTTACCCGAAGATACGTCTATATCCGGGTTCGCGGACGACGTGCTTTTTATATGTTACGACGACAATTTGAGACTGCTGAAAATAAAACTTGAAGATAGTCTGTGGCGAGCTGAATTTTGGTTATATCGGCATGGTCTGAAAATGGCCCTCGAGAAGACTGAAGCTCTACTCGTCACAGATAGGAGAGTTTATGAAGCCCCGAAGATTGAAATGGGAGGAACTGAAGTCGCATGGGGAAATAAGCTTAAGTACCTGGGAGTGTGGTTGGACAAACGTTTAAGTTTTGGCCAACATATTAACATCTCAACACTCAAAGCCACCGAATGCATGGGAAACCTCTCGAGGATGATGCCCAATATCGGTGGCCCCAGGGAAAATAAACGAAGACTAGTGGCGACTGTGGTTCAATCAAAGCAGCTTTATGCTGCCCCTGTATGGGCTTCAGCCCTTATGATCCACAGCATCTCTGACAAACTTTTCTCGGCCCAGAGAGAGCCAGCAAGGAGAATAACGTCAGCCTTCAGAACGGTGTCTGATTGCGCTCTTCGGGTGCTTGCTAGATTACCGCCAATGGATTTGTTGGCGATGGAAAGGCAAGAGAATTTCCAGCTCTCCAAACATCTAGTAGGCAACCCGGAGCGTAGAGAAAGACTCAAAGCTTTAATCCGCTTGGAGTCAAGAAAAAGACTCGTTCTGAGTTGGCAGGAGAGATGGGATGGGGAATCGAAAGGTAGATGGACTCATCGCCTGATTCCCCACCTCGCCACATGGTTGGAAAGACAACACGGTGAAGTAGGCTACTACCTTACACAAGCGATGTCGGGTCATGGTTGTTTCGGACAGTACTTCTATCGGTTTAAAATAGAAGCAGACGCGAAATGTGTGTACTGCAACGGTTCGGATGACGACGAAGCAGAGCACACTGACGACGCGGAGCACACGCTTTTTTCCTGCATGCACTGGCGTGAACTTAGGGAAGCCATGTTTTCGGCCGTGGGCACTAAAGTCACGGTCGAGAATATGGTTTCAATTATGTTGCCGAGCGCGGACTCATGGCGAGAAGTCGAGTCTTTTGTCATCGAAGTTATGAGGAGGAAGGAGAACGACAGAAGGGCGAGATTACCCTGGAGAATTCCTGCTGCTCGGCGGGGCGCTCGCGGAAAACGGAGGAGACCTTAATTGGAACTCCTCTCTCTTCGGCTGGCGCCTTGTTAAGGACTTGGATCTGGAAGTAGGTAAGGAGACCTCCACTGGCGATGTAAGCTTGACAGCAGTTCCACCAGGGGAGATATGTCTCAAAAGGGAGTGGTTTTTGGTGGGTCGGCCAGAACATGAGCGGTCATCCCCACATAACCTTGGAATACGGGCTCCAGGTATCTGACTTGGAAGTAGGCCTCTAAGGTTTTAGCAGATTTTCCACTTCCTACGCAAAAAAAAATTATTATTATTATTATTACAACATATGTAAGCTGTTACTTTACCCCTAACGAAAGCATTGTTGATTTTCAAACATAATTGGATAGTTTAGAGGAAGATGTACGAGATCTGGAAGAGAAAGTAATAATTGGTGGAGATTTTAATGCGAAAGCTATAGAATAAGGAATGCCGAAAACCGATTCAAGAGGAAGAAAAATCTTAAAGATGGCTGCAGGACTGGGGATGACAGTTGGAAATGAAAGAAGCACTTCTACTTTTAGAAGACCGGGGTGCAAAGTCACGATTCCGGATATCACAATGATACGAGATAACGCTGCATCGAGCTTAATAAATTTGAGAGTAAATAAATTGGAAGCGGTCACCAATATATTTTATTTGACATCGCTGAAGGCAAAGAAAAGCATCCACAAAATAATTGGCCAAGATGGAACGTAAATAAGCTTGACAAGGACAAATTCTTGATATCAATAGCCATGAATAAGGAAGCCGTCTTGAAATCCACAGAAGACGTTGAACAAACAATGAGGACTGCAATAAAAATAATAAAGCGCACATGTGATATAGCCATGCCTCGAAAGAAAGATATATCGCAAAGAAAAAAACCGGTCTACTGGTGGAATGATGAAATTGCGCAACTAAGAAAAACCTGCTTATGCCACAGAAGACGAGCAACAAGAAAGAGGATAAAAAATAACGAGGAAGCAGTAGCAGCCAGAATCGAATACAAATCAGCCAAAAAATTTCTTCGTAAATCTATAAGAAGAAGCAAGCACCAGTGTTGGAAAAATCTACAAAAGGGCGTGGATTCTGACCCTTGGGGTCTTGGATACACAATTGTACTTAAAAAATTGGGAAATACATCACCCTGTGCAATCCAGAACGCTTCATTTATGGAAAAGGTGGTAAATACTCTTTTCCCGACTCACCATATAACGGAACGGGATATAATTGATGAGGATTTAAAGGACGTACCTCTGTTTACCGTAGAAGAATTATAAACAGCTGTATATTCTATGAAAAGTAAAAAAGCTCCTGGACCTGATGGAATTCCAGCAGAAGCTCTCAAACTGATAGCAGAGGATTACTCTGATTTCCTGCTACATATGTATAACAGGAGCTTGGAAGAAGGAATCTTTTTCAGTCGATGGAAGGAGCAAAGACTAGTTTTGATAAGTAAAGGGAAAGGTGATCCTCAGTCCCCATCATCATACAGACTCCTCTGTATGCTAAATACAGCAGGGAAACATTTTGAGAGGTTGTTGAAACCAAGACTTTTGAAAGCCGTCAAGGAAGCGGGAGATCTTTCAAACAAACAATTTGGTTTTAGGAGAGGTCGTTCAACAATTGATGCGGTACAAGAAGTTGTAGGATCAGTTAGAGATGCACAGAAAGGGAATCACTTCTCAAGAAAAATTGTCTTGCTAGTGACCTTTGACGTTAAAAACGCCTTTAATTCAGCAAGATGGAACGACATGCTAAAAGCCCTGGAAGAAGATTTTAAAGTACCAATGTATCTTTTAGGAATACTTAAAAGCTACACGGAAAAGTTCTTGGGCGAGTCGCTGTACCTGTTGTGGTGGCGCTGAGTGACCAGTACCTATCGTAAAGTGACAGCCCCATTTTGGTAGCTCATTTCACCCACAGAGACTGCTGCTTTCCTACTGTGGGGCGTCAGAGCTCTCTTGTGGGGCATCAGAGCTCTCTTTAGAGAGAAAGCAGAAAACCTTTTCTGTGGGAGGCGAGTGAGAGACGTCTGCTCGCCCAAAAACTTTTCCGTGTACCTTAACCAGAGAATTCTGTTCTATGAGACATCTGAAGGGAGACAAAAGAAGAACATTACAGCAGGTGCGGCACAAGAATCGGTTCTAGGCCCAGATCTGTAGAATATTACCTATGATGAAAGCTTAAAAATGAGTACACCGGAAGATACCTTTTTAGTAGGCTACGCAGACGACATAGCCGCGCTAATCACGGCCAAAAGCACAGAGTCAGCACAGAGAAAACTCAATCAGCTTATGAAAAGATTATTGCCATGGATGCAGGAGCATGGATTCAGTTTAGCTATGCAAAAAACAGAGATTGTAGTTCTCACCGGGAAAAGAATAAGGTTAAAAATTCCTTTTGAGGTCGGTATGGAAATTGGCACAAGTAAAAGAGTGGTTAAACATCTAGGAATAAATTTAGACAGTAGACTCAGTTTTTGGGATCATATAGTACTTGCATCTGAGAAAGCAGCAAAAGTTAATCGGGCTCTGGGTAAATTAATGAGTAATACTGGTGGCCCGCTGCAAAGTAAAAGACGATTATTAATTGTTGCTTCACAAGCTATTCTCCTTTATGGTAGCGAATTATTCGCAGAAGCACTGAAGAAAGAAAAGTATCGCAAGCGCATGGCGGCTACTCAGAGATTAGGTGCTTTAAGAATCGCGAGCTCCTATCAGACGGTTTTTGAACCAGCAATCATGGTAATTGCAGGAGTTACTCCTATAGATCTGGTGGCAATGGAAAGACGAAAAACTTACCAAAATAAAACATCAGAAGACCAAAAGCTCATAAAAAAGCAGCAAAAGAACGCACAAGGGTAAACTGGCAGGAACGTTGGAAAAATGAACACAGGGGAAGATGGACCTTTAGACTAATTAAGGATCTGAATACTTGGGTAGACCGGAAAGTAGGTGAAAAAAATTATTATATTACTCAATTTTTGAGCAATCACGGCTATTTTAAAGCTTACTTGCACAAAATGAAAAAGGTCGAAAACGCAAGTTGTATTTATGGTGATGGAGACAAAGACGAGCCAATAACCTCTTACCCCTGAAGAAATGCGAAAGCGGATACCGGGGTTTTTAGTGCGGTATGAGCGAGTGCCTAAAGCACAACCGCTTAGTCCCACACTGCCCTGGTGACAGGGCGTGCGTAACGCATTTTTACCTCCTCCTCTCTTAAAAAAAATTATTATTATTATTATTATTATTATAAAAGTTTTTGGAGACAAAAATTTTGTTTGGAAATATTACAATGTAAAACAAACATTAATTTAATTTTTATAATTCTTAAATTTTTATTAGTTCCAATGTTTAAATGTTTTTTGTTGCGCATTTGAAAAAATCTTTTTTATCAGAAAAAAGTATTAAAATACATTTTCTTTGTTTACAGACAAATGAAATACCTATTTTGATTTTCTTAAAATAAAAATAGATTTTTTATATGGGAGAAAAATAACTAAATTTTCTATTGTTTAAATAGTGTTAATTTTTTTTATGTCAAAATTAAACATTTTCAAATAATTATTTTCTATAAATCCTCGTTCGGTTGTCTTTCAACTTATTTTTTTCTATTTATTTGATTTAAGTAAATATTCACTTGAGGGCAGTTCCATACGAAAAGCAAATGGTGGATTACCGATTTTTCTTAAATTTGGTAATTTAAGAATTTTTTATTCTTTATTTTGGTAATTCACTTGTCTGTAGTATTTGGGATACTAAATAACTGTGCCAAACAGTTTCGCAAAAAAAAATTTTTGCAAGATATTTAGATTTGAAAATTGGAAACTGAAAAAATGATTTTTTTGAGAATTTCTATTTCGAAAACTATTGATTCTACGAGAAATAGTACATTGTACAACTAGTGGCGAAAGTGTGATTTTTCGAGAATGAAGTTTGCGGCTCGAGCGTAGCGAGAGCAGCAATCACTCGAAAAAATCATTCTTTCACCACGTGTTGTGCACAACGTTTTCTCCAACGCCTTGCGAGGAAAAATTTCTTCGTGAGTTTCGTATAATTTTAATTTAACGTGTGCTTATGTTTAATATAATGAAAGACGAATGTTTGAGTGGGGAAGAAGTTAGATACAAAATAAATCTCGTTCAAAGAACAAGAAAAAAGAATAAATTCATGATTTACTTTCGCCACGCTAAATTTACTTTCGCCACGCTGAATTTACTTTCACTACGCCAAATTTTACTTTCGCCACGCTCTTCAGAGCACTTGAGAAAAGTTCTACTTTCGCCACACTCTTCTACCAAGAAAAGTACTCTTTTCAGAGCAAGTGCTGAAAAAAAGTCATTTATTCAAAATTGTAGAGAAAATGTGAATTTTTTATAATATTAAAAAAAAGTTAAGAAAAGTTAAATTTTCAATAATTTGTTTAACAATAATTTTTTATTGTTAAAAAATATGCTAAGGACATCATGGAATTTCCTAAAAAAAATTATTTTCTCCAACACTTGCTCTGAAAGGAGTACTTTTCTTGGTAGAAAAGTGTGGCGAAAATAGAACTTTTCTTAACTGCTCTGAAGAGCGTGGCGAAAGTAAAATTTGGCGTGGCGAAAGTAAATTCAGCGTGGCGAAAGTAATTTTTAGCGTGGCGAAAGTAAATTTGGCGTGGCGAAAGTAAATCATGAATTTATTCTTTTTTCTTGTTCTTTGACCGAGATTTATTTTGTATCTAACTTCTTCCCCACTCAAAACATTCGTCTTTTATTATATTAAACATAAGAACATTTTAAATTAAAATTATACGAAACTCACGAAGAAACCTTTCTTCGCAAGGCGTTGGAGAAAACGTAGTGCACAACTCGTGGTGAAAGAATGATTTTTCTCGAGTGATTGCTGCTCTCGCTACGCTCGAGCCGCAAACTTCACTCTCGAAAAATCACACTTTTGCCAGTAGTTGTACAATGTACTATTCTCAAAATTTAAGCCTTCTTTAATAAGTGGTTAAATTTTTAAAAAAGTGCTTTTTGATGTTTTTGAAAAAAAAAATTTTGAAGTTTGCGCTACGAGTTTTTGTGCGTTGGGCTAACTAAGGCCGCAGTCCCATGGCAGCGTTTTGCGTCGCGTTGTAATGAGAGAGAATGCAGCAAACGTATATTTGCGTCTTTTTCTCTCCCATTACGACGCAACGCAAAACGCTGTCATGGGACTCCACCCTAAGCAGCGCCTATATCAGTGTATTTTAAAAGATGATATGACCTTTACTGCTCGTCTCTAATACATTTATTGATTATATACGTATATATTATTATTATAAACAGTTTAACAATAAGGGAGAGTCTCCAGTTGTGAGACACCTCCAGTTGTGAGACAGTCAATTTTTTTTAACATGCAATATTAAAAAGCCGATTGGTTTATATAAAAACATTTCTTTTTACATGAGCCAACTTTTTCGTGTAAACCGAGGCGGAAATATAAACTGTTTTTGTTAAATACCAACACTGTGTGTGATAATTGACTAAAAAGCGTTTTTTCAAAAAATGCAAAGTACTTTTTTTCCAAGTTAATTAATTGGAAAAGGTAAATGTAATGCATTTTCTTTTAGTGTTTTCCTTATATTTTGTGATGCAATATTGCATTGTTCCAATCTACGGTTGAAAATAATTTAATTTTCCTTTTTCAAAATATCGCCGATTTCTGGGTGTGAGACACAGCATATCACCAGTTGTGAGACGGTGTCAACACTCATCTGGGCAGCATAAAAATACGACTTTGCAGGCATACTATTTAAATATTGTTTTGATTTTTTTCTAGTATTTTTGGGCATGTCAAGTGGAAAAAAGTCAATTGATTCAGAAGAAATTAATTTTAATGCTCTTGTTGAAGCTATTAAATTGTGTTTATTTGATAGTCATATTTTGTCGAATAAATATTATTATTTAGTATATAATAATATATATTATTAATATATTTCATTATTTCTACTAAACATAACGTTTTATGTCAAACTTATTAAATTTTAGCAACTTTTAATGAGTGTCTTACAACTGGAGACATTTTTTTTTTAAAAAAGCGATGTGCTCGGAAAATGTATCGTAAAATTTTTTGAGTTCATCGAAACACAACACTTTCTTTTAATAAAAGTTGCGTATTTCTGTTACCTTTCGAACGGTGTATTTTATTTACAATTTCGTTTACCTGTTTACAATTTACGGGTTAAAAATAAAACCCGTCTCACAACTGGAGACTCTCCTCTATATTTTTAACTTTTTTATAAACATTATTTTCCTTTTATAACCCATTAATGTCCATATGGGCACAGGAACGCAGATATAAAAAAATAATTATTAGGATCCTGACATGGGGTCTAATGATATTTTTTGACGTTAAAAATTTTGTTTAAAAAAATTTTTTTAAACAATTTGATATAAACGAATGAAGAAAAATTGATTTTCCGAAGAAACTGATAGCGCCATTCGATTCTACGCAAAAAACTACTACGAGAACGTATATTACATAATTTTTAAGAAAGACATATTTTTGTAAAAATGTTATAAACAATTAGCCTGCATTTATACTGTTTGAGGTCTAAGGATAGTTTTTGAGGTACAAATTTTGTTTAAAAAATTTTTAACGTCAAAAACTCTCCTGATTAAGCTAATTTTGTTTAAAAAAATCTTTAACTTCAAAAACGATCCTTATACCTCATACAGTATGAATGCAGGCTAATTGTTTATAACATTTTTACACCAATAGGTCTTTTTTAAAAAATTATGTAATATATGTTTTCGTAGTGGTTTTTAGCGTAGAATCAAATAGCGCTATAAGTTTCTAATAAAAATCGACTTCTCTTCATTTGTTTATAAAAAAAATTGTTAAAAAGATATTTTTTTAACATTCAACGACAAAAATTATCATTAGATCCCATGCCAGGATTCCAATAGTTACTTTTATTATATCTGCATTCCTTTGCCTATAGGCATCAATGGGTTAATGTAAAAAATCTTTTCCTTAAAGCATTTTTTCAGTTAGTAGAAAATAAATTTGACACAATAACGTTTGACTTTTGTTCCACTGAAGACCATAACAATACAAAATTAGAAATATAAGCCTGGATAAAGTGTGGAGGAAAAGATTTTTTACAATAAAAAAGGAAAATAATGTTTATAAAAAAGTTAAAAATATATAGTTAAACTGCTTATAATAATAATATATACGTATATAATTAATAAATGTATTAGAGGCGTGCAGTAAAGGTCATATCATCTTTTAAAATACACTGATATAGGCGCTACTTAGTTAGCGCAACGCACAAAAACTCGTGAAGCAAACTTCAAAAATTTTTTTCTCAAAAATATCAAAAAGCACTTCTTTAAAAATTTAACCACTTATTAAGGAACCCGTGTGGAAATTTTCTAATGGCCCTTTATTGGTTCTACCTAGATTTCCCTTTTATTAACTTGGTCCTAGCTTGTTTATTCTTGTAGGCCCTAGGTTCTAGCCTGGTTCTACCTAGAGAATCTAGTTAGGCCCAATAAAAGGAACAGTTTAATTAACTATTGAAAAAAATTATTTATTATTATTGAGATTCATTATTTCATCTTTTTTTACCTACTTTTGTTATCATGTAATTTATAATACTTAATTCCTATATACTAACAGAGAAAAAATCCCCACACGTTGGGAGTTGAACGCACGACCCTAACATTTGTAAACCAATAACCTAACCACTTAACCACGCTCGCTCGGTACGATGCGTTGAATGATACTTCAGGTTATTCTTGTCATCATATTATTATTAAGAAGAGGGTTGTGGACTTAGGACCTTGCAGGTCAACGCCACTAACGCTTGGGTAATCCCTTTACGTTCC